TACAAAAGTATGTCACCTTACATAGCAGGTATCAGGTTTTTTTTGTACCAGGGATCAAACTTGGGACTTTGTACTTGCCAGGCAGGTGGTGGCACCATTGCGCTGAATCCCCAGGAGTTATCAGTTTTTTTTTTTTTTTAATCCTTATGCAAATTCCATACTTTCTTGATTACTATAGTTTTATTGTTAAGTTTTAAAATTTGAGGGCTGGGGATTTAGCTCAGTGATTCTGCTACTTGCCTCACAAGCACAAGGACCCGAGTTCGATCCCCGGCACAAAAACAAAAACAAAACAAAAGACCCTAAAATTTGATAGGGTAAATGTTCCTGCTTTGTTCTTGTTTTTCAAAATTGGTCTGACAATTCTAGTTCTTTTGCATTTCTATAAAGAAAAATTTAAGGTCATCTTACCAATTTCTACAAAAAAAGACTTCTGGGATTTTGACAGAGATTTTACTGGATCTATAGAACAATTTGGGAAGAATCAAAATGCTATTTTTTCTATCCCATACTCATATTTGATTAGATCATCTTCTCAGTGTACATTTTACAGTATACAAGTTACACCCTATTTTGTTCAATTTATTTGTATTTATTCTTTTTGATGCTATTGTGAATGAGGTTGTTTTGTTAATTGTATTTTTATTTTATTTTTGTGCTTAAATTCTTTTATTGGTACATTTTAGGTTTACAATACATTTACATTTATCATTGGGTGCTTGTACCTGTACATGATGTATCTTAGTTCTTATTTTTTCCCCATTACCTGTGCGCCCTGCTCCCCCTCCACCCCTTCCTATTGACAAAGACTTTGTTTCCATTTTTTTCCTTTTCTCATAATTTTGCCTTGCCCTTCTTTCCTTTCCCCTTCCCCTTCCACTTCCCCTACCCCTTTGGACCTTTTCTTTCTATTTCCCATTATCAATTATTCATTTTAATCATTATTAACACTTTCAGTTTCTCACACCAGAGACACACATGTGTAAATACCGAATAGTTTCTCTGGTGTGAGTTACCAGGTTTTTAAAAAACTTGTTAAGTGCTGGGGATTTAGCTCAGTGGTGCCAACCACCTGCCTTGCAAACGCAAGGTCCCGAGTTCAATCCCCGGTACCAAAAAAAAAAAAAAAAATCAAAAAAACTTGTTAAGTCACATTTCTGTCCCAAATTGTGTCATGTATATATATGTCATGTATATGATATATGTATCCTGTATTTCTAGAAACAAACATCACGTACCTAACTTGAGGGATAAACATCTCAGGCATATCATTTGTGGAAATAACTGTGGAAATAACAAGGCTGTTAGAGTAGCAAAACAGCTACCGATCCTCTCTCCATTCCCTGCTTTCTATTCTCTCTTATACCTTCCTACCCACCCCAACAAATAATTCTACCCAAAAAAATGGGGGATGACAAGAGGAATAGTTATAGTTTCTCCATGAAAAATTGGTCATTCCTGAAAGCTTGCAAAACAAATTCCTTTCATCTTTCCATGACCAGTTACATGCTGGAGCATTCTCTCTCCTCCAATTCCTAAATACTCACATACATCTCACCCCTACTTTCAGGACCTTCCTACAAAAGATTATCACCCAATGCTCCACAGACTGAACCACCAACACCCAGAGCAACCTCAGACTTCCTTCCTTCCTCCCCCATTAATTTTGGGGATCCCTCCCCGGAACTGACTGGCAAATGGACTTTCCTCACGTGGCTCAAGTAAAAACAAACATATCTCCTTGTCCTAGTTGACACATTCTCAGGATGGATGGAGGCCTTTCCTACACTAGACCAAAGAGTCTCCCCAGTAGCACCTATCTTACTCCCGGAAATCATCCCCTGCTTCGGACTCTCGACCTCCATCCAAAGTGGTGTAAAAGACCTGAATTTACCTCACAGATCCCCAACAGGCAGCCTCCTCCCCAAATATAACCTGGAAGTTCCACATCCCATATTGTCTCCAATCCTCAAGTAAGTTCAAAAAGGCTAACCATCTTCTTTAATAAAGCCTAAACAAGTTTTCCCTCCAGGTCCACTTAGACTGGACTAAAGTCCTACCCTTAGCCCTTTTCAAACTCAGGTCTCTTCCACACAATCTTCTTGTGGTCAGCCTCTTTAAGATTCTACACAAAAGTCCCCTCATTTCTTTCACATACTCTACCTCCAATTCAAACCTCCCCTCCCCTCTTTCAAATTTTTTACTTAGCACCCATAGGCATCTTATCTGGAACTACGCTGACTCCACCCTCCACAAACCCTCCAGCAGCCTAGACACCTCCCTCCTTTGTGCCTACTACCTGGACACTGGGTGTATATAAAACCTTCCAGACCCTCCCATGCCTGACCTCCAACACACACCACTCTAAGGGGCGCCTCGCTGTTGGCACTCTCCCTTTCTGTCTCTGATTTTCACCCTGATCCTGTGCAGCTGGCCAACACCCTCTGTGGGTCCCCTGCTGCTTTAGGGGATATTGGCAACAAGGTCGTCCCAGGAAATTTACAGTGTGGTTACCTCTTCTCCCAAGGGTCAGCTTTCTGGGTTTCAAACACCTCTCTTTTCCTTCCTAAGTCACTACATTAATAGGAGCAAATTTTTACAGCAACCTTCATGGGGACGACACTGGGACCTGGTATAGTAAGAGTAGGTTTTCTCTTGACTTGCACAGAGCTGGACCCCCACCCCCCACCCCCCTATGGGAAGCTCTGGGGCCTTTCTGAGCCAGTTTCCAGTCTGTACAACAGGGACAGCTGGGCTGCTACAGTGGAGACGCACAAACTAACATCTCGCTCAATCTGCGTTAGTCTCCTTTTCTTTCACTGGGTTATAATGAACATCAAGTGAGAAAATAAATGTGAAAGGGATGTTCCCATCTATAAAGCTCTGGGTTTTGCTAATTTAAAAAATATATAAATAATATTAATAATAAACACACAGGGAAAAGCAATGGTTAATTTGGAAAAGGTTTACATTTTTATAATCTGAATTAGATCAACAGATGTCATGACCACATTTCCAAAACCCTGATTTGACAAGTCAAAATGCATTTGTTGAGCAGAACATTTTAAATGGGGCTTGTCCCATAAAACTTCAGACACAGAGTTTCTCATAAATACAGTCCTTGCTTTCAGCAACCCTGGATATTTTTATAGTGCTCATTACCACCTTCCCATGTTTGAATTTTTTTTTTTTTTTTGAGACAGGGTCTCGCTATGTAGTTCAGGCTGGCCTTGTTTCTAGATATGTTTTTTTGTTGTTGTTTTGGTACCGGGGATCGAACTCAGGACCCAGGCTGGCCTTGTTTCTCATGGACAGCAGTACCAGGAAGTCTCTTGAGTTTGGCCCCACGTGTGCTGAGTTGGGCGCTGCTGTTTCCATTTGAGGACCAAACCCGGCACACCTCAGTCGCACTGAAAGGGTTAACAAATTGGGATAGAGTGCTGGAAAATTGACCATCATAATTGATTTCTACTCGAACACTGTAAACCACACTCTAAGGTTGTGCTGGTAGTACAGGAAAGAAACTGAAAACGTTCCGGGGACGTCCACATGGCACGTTAATTTCTGTTCACAAAGCTCTGCAGCAAATGCGTGGGAATTAAGAATGAACAAGGCTGTCCTTGTGTAGATCCCTTCACTGGCAGGTTTGCTGTAGAGAAGGCATGGCCTCCCCCGACCCACACTTCCTTTGGCCTTTGCTCTTTGGATTCATTAGATTTCTGTTTGCATCTCTATTTGTCGTGAATAGTATTTACATATAGTTTTTTGTTTTTTTTCTGTACCGGCGATGGAACTCAGGACCTCGAGTTTACGAGGCAGGCACGGTGCCACTGAACTAAATCCCCAGCCCCTAGATTTTTTTTTTTTTTTTTTGAGACAAGGTCTCGCAATGTAGTTCAGGTTGGTCTTGAACTCACTATGTAGCCCACACTACTTTTGAATTCGCAGCAATCCTTCTGCCTCAGCTTCTGGAGTGCTGGGATTACAGGCGTGTGACACCAAATCTGGCTTGTTTGAGGATTTATGCTGCTGGATTTTTTTTTTTTTTGTACCGGGGATCGAAGTTGGGACCTTGCGCCTGCGAGGCTGGCAGCACAACCACTGAGCTAAATCCCCCTTGTTTTAAGTTTAGAGTGCTTCATTTCTCAGTATCACCTATCTCCTCCATCGTCCTTGTTTTGTTCTCACAGTAACGCTTTAACAAGTACTACACAGATACAAATGGTTTAAGAGTGAGGTAACCAAAAAGTGAAACGCCTAGGGTTGGGGATGTAGCTCAGTGGCGCTGCGCCTGCCTAGCAAGCGCAAGGTGCTGAGTTCGAGTCTCAGCACCGAGGAAAAAAAAAAAGGACAAAGTAAAACTCGGGGCAGGCCAATTCCCAGTTTCTTTAGGGGTTTATAAGATTTGCAAAGGTGCACTCAAAAGACTTTTAAAGCACTCTCCTGGGCGGGGGAGTAACTCGGTGGCATTATTTCGGTCTAGCAAGTGTGAGGCTCCGGGACCCCCAGGGCCAGAACAAAAAAAGTACAAATATTGACCCGGAAGACGAAATCCCTCCCTGTCCCCAGTCCTTTGGAGATGGGATATGTAGCTCCACCCTCTCGCTAGGCCTAGGCTTGACCAGTACCGCAGAGGAGCCTAGGGAGTCTCGTAGATGCCGCCTCCGTCCTCACCCGGGTGCGAGTCCCCTCAGTCGAGCTCCCTGCGCGCCACACACCCCGGCGCCCCCTTCCTGGAGGCCTCGCCCCTCTTCTTTGCCCCGCCCACCCGCGGCCTCGCCCCTCCCGCTGCTCCCTCTCCGCCGGCCGATTCCTTCCCGAGACCCCCTCGCCCCACGGCTCTATCCCCTAGGCCACTCTATCCTCCCAGGGTGTGTGGGACCCAGTGTGTAGCTATCTGGACCCGGAGCCTAGGAGCCCGCCCTTCTCGAGTCCCCGCCCACCCACCGACCACGCCCTCCCGCGCCTAGCTGTCCTTCGGCCCCGCCCCCGCGGCCTCTGGACTCCAGCGCCGCGCGCCTCGCGCCTCGCGTATGTGGCTCGCAGCCCCCGCGGCCGCGCCGTCCTCGCTTCTGCGCGCCCCCTGGCTTGCTCTGGCCGCCGCCATGAGCACTGGCACCTTCTCTTTGTCGCAGCCGCTCAATTACCGCGGCGGGGCCCGCGTGGAGCCTGCGGACGCCTCCGCCACGGAGCAGGCATTCGAGCCGGCCACGGGTACGCGGCGGAGGCCGGGCGGGTGGGCGGCCGACCCTCCCCGCGCCCGTTGCTCGCCGTCCTGCGCCCTCCTCGGTGCGCCTAGGCTGCAGCCGGAACTCGCTGGTGCGCCCGGCCGGGACGCGAGGGGCCGTGGAGGACGAGGGCTGGGCGCCTGCTGGGGCCGCAGCTGAGCGGCAGCCTGAACGCCGGACCCGGGTCCGGGCGCCGCAAGTTGCGCGTCTGTTAACCAGCAGCGCACGCTGGGAGTCCCAGCACCGTGGGAGGTCGAGGCTGAGGATAGCAAGTTCAAGGCCACCCTGGGAAAAGAGTGACTTTGCGAGACCTTGTCTCAAAGTAAAAAGTAAAAAGGACTAGGGATGTAGCTCAGAGCAAAGGCCTTGGGTTCAATCCTGGGGAAAAATGGTTTGAATTAGGCCTGCTGGGTGCATGGGAGGGGGTACAGCAGGACGCGGAAGTGCTGCTGGGGGGAGTGGAGAAGCGCTTCTGGCGGTTTGTAAGGAGCAGGAATGTGGGTTTGGTCTCTGTCTTCTAGTGCTAATTTAACAGTGTTTCTGCACAATAATCCGAATTGGGAAAGGAAAAAAACCCACCTTGATCTAGGCTCCCCCCATTTGCTGAGGTGTAATTGACAAGGAGTTGTGTATACTGAAAGTGTGCAGCGTGATGCTTTTATATATGTGTACCTTTGGAAATGACTAGCACAGCCAGGCTCATTAACAGGTGTGTTACCTCTAGACAGTTATCCTTTTTCTTGGTAGTGTTGCCAGGGGGTGGTGCACAGCCCTGTAATCCTAGCTCCCAGGAGGCTGAGACAGGAAGATCAGCAAGTTCCAGGCCAGCCTGAACTACGAAACAAGACCCTGCTTCTAAACAAACAAAACGCTATTCTCTTAGCAAATCTTAAGTATACAATGCAAGATTATTAACTGTAGTCCTGAAGTAAGAAAAGATAAGGCAGAGACTGACAGTCTCAAGACTCCCCTCCTGCTAAACCCACAAAGGTCGCTGTGATGGAAAGATGAACTGCTGAAACAACGTCTGCCTGTACCTCCCTGCCCCTGTGCTAAGTTCTGCTTCTGTAAAATTGCGGTGGCTTCCCAGCCCCGCCTAAAGAGTCCTATAAAAATAAAACGAACAGTGTCGGGGCCAGACTCTGGACGGTGACTTCCACTGGGCTGGCTATCGAATCCACCTTCCTTGCCTTTCAGTTCTCTGAGCTCCCTGAGTGCCTCCTTAGCAATCTCTGTGCTGAACATTAGATCTCCTTGTATTTATTTCTGTCTAAATGGAACTTTTAAACTCCAGTTCGTAACGTGTGCCCAGCTAAGGACAAAGAGGGTTTTTGTTTTTGTTTTGCTGCCTTGTATGGAATGTTTGGGGAACAAATGTAAATGTTTTGTGTGAACAAGAAGGGCAGAGGTAGGCAGATCAGTACAGCTGGATTGCAAGGGATGGGAGAATTTAGGGTTAACCATGCTCCCTAAGTCACAGAGCAGTGACTTGTCAGAACTGAAGTGACCACGGAGATGAGGAAAGCTTTAATTCACATAGGAGGAAACAGCTTCTCCGTCCCCTCCCCACAGTCATAGAAAAAAAATAGAAATTACTCTTTAATTACCTACAATGTTTGTGGTAGTCACTGCCTTTATGAACTATTTAAGTGTGTAACAGAAAGTACAGTTTGTACAGAACGTGTGGTACATTCTAAGAGGCTGAGGGAGGGGGATTCAAAGTTGGAGTCCAGCCTGAGTCGCTTATAGAGATCTTGTTTCAAAATAAAAAGGTAGAGGTGGTTGTGGCCGGGGACGTAGCTCAGTACAAAGGTCCTGGGTTCAACAGACGTGTGTGTGTGTGTGTATGTTTGTGAAATCTTTCTGGAAAAAACCAAGTTTCAGGAAATTTTATAAAAAGGAACTGTTGAATAGGCATTTATTGATAGAGTTGATCTCGCTTGTAATGATTGGAATATAGGTCTAGAAAAATTGATCTTTTCGTGTTTTGCCCAAGAACAAGGATAAGAAAAAAAAGTTGGAGTAAAAAAGATTGGAATTTTTAATTTAAGAAAAAATATCTTGCTTTTCAGGTTATCTTTTGAGATATTACTGTTTACTAAGCATATTCATAAAATAGTAGTATGGTACAGCCTACTTAGAACACAGAGAAGGGATTTAAAATCAGAGTTCATACAATAGCCTGATTAGTTTCAACTTTGATTTTTTGTAAGACCCCTGAGATTCAGAGGGAGTGTTAAGGAATGTTGCAAAATGACCTACAGGAAATAAATGTTAGTAAGCTCAACTATAAAATAGAGAAGGGGGGTTCTGACTGCACATCTGCTGTGTTTCGACTGGAGACATGGTCTCTGTAATTCTGTGATGTGGTTAAGTAGTTTTTTCTGGCTTGAGGTCTGCAGCTTTTATCAGATACTAAAGGGGTCGGTGACTGCCGACAATAGTTAAGAACTACTGGTATAGAAGTGGTCACTGGATCAAACTATACTTAAAAATAGCAGGGGGATCCCTAAGAAAACATTGACACATGATTTTATTTAAATGTGTTATAATAATTTGACATAAAACTGACTTTTCTATTCTGTAGGCCGAGTGGTAGCTACTTTTGCATGTTCAGGAGAAAAAGAAGTCAATTTGGCTGTTCAGAATGCAAAGGCTGCCTTTAAAATATGGAGTAAAAAATCTGGCATGGAGCGTTGCCGGATCCTCCTGGAAGCTGCCAGAATAATAAGGGTGTGTATTTATATATTCCCTTCCAGAAAACTCCTCTGGAATTCCTCTGCATGTTCTGTAGAATTGATTTTGGTGCAACAATTGGTTAAACATTTGTATGAAATGGAAAAATATTTCCACGTGCTCACCTTGGTATGTGAAACATGGTTTCTTTTAGTAAGTCCCATCCAGGTCTTGGCTCTTAAACAGCTCCGTTGGCAGGTTTTCTTTCTTTCTTTTTTTTTTTTTCCTTAAATTCTTTTATTGGTACATTATAGGTATACAACACATTTACATTTCTCATTGGGAACTTGTACCTTTACATGATGCATCTTGGTTCTTATGTTTTCCCCATTCCTAGCCCTCCCTTCCCCCCCTCCACCCTTCCCTATTTACAAAGACTTTATTTCTATTTTTTCCATTTCTCATCATTTTTCCTTTCCCTCCTTTCCTTTCCCCTGACCCTCCCACTACCCCTACCCCTTTGGACCTTTTCTTCCTATTTTGCATTATCGATTATTCATTCTAATCATTGCTACATTTTAGGTATACAGTATAATGACATTCATCATTGGAAATTTGCACCTTTACATAATCTGTCTTGGTTCTTATTTTTCACCCTTGCCCAGCCCTCCCTTCAAACCCTCCATTCCTCCCTATTTACAAAGGTTTTGTTCCTATTTTTCTATTTTCTCATATTAATTCCATTTCCTTCTTTCCTTTCCCCTAGCCCTCCCACTTCCTTCCCCTTTGCCCCTTTTCTTCCTATTTCACATTACCTATTAAACGTTTTAGTCCTTTCTGTATTTGCACCGAATTATAATGTATGTTTGTCTACTGGTTTCTTTCTTTTTTTTTTTTTTTGGTACCGGGCAGAGGATCGAACCTGGGGGGGGACCTTGTGCTTGTGAGGCAGGCGGTGGAGCCACTGAGCTAAATCCCTGGCCCTGGTTTCTTTCTTTGGGCACTTTCCTTCTGATGAAATTTAAATCTACTTTTGTTTTTTGGATTTGTTTTATACTTTAATTGCCTGGGAACATTTTATAGGCTCATAGATGTTCTCTTATTTACCAAAAAAACTAAAACTTTTATATTATAGTTTTAAAAGATAGATAATAGGCAGTAGAAAAATAGACCCTTCTCAAAGGGGAAAGGTTCAAGAGATTGATGGAAGAGGAGGGAGGCAGAGGATAAGGGATGAAAAAAAGGAATTGGGATGTGTTATGTGCATGTACCACTCCCACAAGGAATGTCAACACATGTACTACAAACAGGTACAAAAATAAATAAAAGGAAGGAGATGAAGGGATGAGTGGAGGGAGGAGGGAGGGAAAAGGGGTGAAAAAAAGAATAAAAGTGTGTTTTGTTCATGTAGCAGCCTCCCACATGGAATGTAAACATTATGTACTACATTCATGTACTAATAAACTAAGATAAAAAATATGTAGTCATTAAAAAAACCAAAAGTAGTAGATGCTTATTACAGAAAGCTTAAATATTCAGAAAAATGTACACCAACATATGAATGAGTCATGGATATCTCTTGAGTGGTAGGACTGGTGATTTTTTGTTATAAGTATGTTAAATCAGAAACTGTGAGGGCCGGGGATTTAGCTCAGTGGTTCTGCCACCTGCCTCACAAGCACAAGGTCCTCAGTTTGATCCCTGGTACCAAAAAAAAGTATACTCAAGAAACTGTGGAGGTTGCAAGAGTGTGTACATACACACATACACATGCACCTGTACATAGATTCTGACAGGAGACATGAGGCTTTTGAGATCAGAAAAGCGATGGTTTATTACAGCAAACTATACCTAGAATGGGCTGGGCCACAATTATGAGACTTAGCATGTGTAGGGCCCGCTGTCACATCTGCCCATCCTGTCCTCTGGGGAGAGAGAGCAGTTACTCATTAAGCAAAGCTCTGGAGTGAGAGGGAAAGGTCACTGAGATTATTGTCTCCAAATATAAGTAGATGTGACCAGGAACAGGAAGTAAAAATCCTTTCACTTGATATTACTCTGATGATCTCTTATCTTTAGGGCAAGCTGCATCTGCCCTCCAGGGCTTTTGATGTTAATCCGCCTGCTGGTGTTCTTTGCCCAGAAAGCTTAAACCATGCAGAAATGTCAGAACATTTATGGAGAATATTTTCTTGACAGATACTTTCGCTGGTTGTTAAAAATTACTTTTATTTTGATAGACCGAAGGTGATGGTCATTGTAAGCTAATGGTTATTTTACTTTGTCCTCTATTTTGTCCTAATGCCCATTGGACTATTATGTCCTCTTAGGAAGTGGCTCCTTCACTATGAAATGATTTTTATTGGTCCTAAATAATAATAAGTATATCTTCGCTCTGTCTGATACTCTTTTCCTTTTCACATAGACCTTCCCTAAGCACCATTTTCTTACTATATATGCTCAAACCTGCATACCTATGAATGCACATACACACATAATCATTTCTCAGAGTGTACTATTTCAAACTGATCATGAATGTGGTTGGAAATTTTTATCACGTAATTAACTTGAAAGGAAGAACCGAGCTGTTGTTTAACAGTAAGCTTTTATCTCTCTTCTGTATGTAACACTGCCATTCCATTTATTTTCATTTACAGTGTAAGCTATTTCAATTTTTAAAAATGAACAATGAATTGTACTGAACTGTGTCAAGACGTGGCTCTAGGTAGTAAATCTGGTCGTCTTTCCAACTCAAAGGAGCAGAAGGATGCAATCGCCACCATGGAGACCATCAACAATGGCAAGTCCATCTTTGAGGCCCGCTGGGACATCGACACTTCCTGGCAGTGCCTCGAGTACTTCGCAGGCCTGGCTGGATCCATGGCTGGTAAGCTTTTGCCTGGCCTTCGGTGACCAGCTGACAAATGGGAGAAGAGCAGAGCCTGCTGGCAAAGGGCAAAGATTGGAAATTAATACAGGTCTGGGGTCAAGTCCTGCACTCATCACCTACTTGGGTAGCCCAGGAATTATTTTACCTTCCCTTGTCTAAGCTGGAGACAAGGATCTCTGACTTCCTGGATTGGTGTAAAGTTGTTGGGACACCACAAGTTGCAAAGTTTACAAAACATCACATTGGAAGGTTTGTAGGCCCCAGCTGGGTGGTGGGAGCCACAAGTTGAAGGCTGTGCTCCTGCTGCAGAGGCCGCTCCTTATTTCCATTTTCTTTTTGTTTTTTTTTGGTACCAGGGATCGAACTCAGGACTTTGCGCTTGCAAGGCAGGTGTCAGAACCACTGAGCTAAATCCCCAGCCCTCCATTTTCTTTTTAATCTGTTACCCAGTGGAGGCTCAGGAAAGCTTTAGAGAGTTGGTAGGATACATGTGTTTGAAGGATAAGCAGGATCCTCTGTGTGGGGAAAGTGCAGGAAGCCAGTGTCCCAGGGACCAGAGAAATAAAAGTGCGGAGCTCTGGGAGCCAGGGTCTTGGAACCAGTGAGGCTGGTCTGCCTGGAGTGTGGGTCGCCTATTGGTCAAACTTAGGGGGCATAGACGTGTGTTCCCTGTGTCCTCTGTTCATCCCGTAGGTGAGCACATCCAGCTCCCAGGTGGATCCTTTGGCTACACCCGCAGGGAACCCCTTGGAGTGTGTGTGGGGATTGGAGCCTGGAACTACCCCTTCCAGATCGCCTGCTGGAAGTCGGCCCCGGCTCTGGCCTGTGGTAAGAAGCAATCAGACCCACTGGGAGCCCTGCGCTCGAGCCCTGTCCTCTGCCCCTCACCTTTCTGTCAACCCACACTTCAAGGCAGAGGGCTCTGCTCTGGGACATTCAGACTTTGGAGGACACGGGTCCCTTCCTGCCCCACCTTCTTCCTCCTGACTTCATAGCCACCTACTGCTGCCCTGCAGAGCCTGCCTTAGAGACCTGCCTGCTTCAGCCACCTCCACAGAGGAGCTCCCCCAGCCCCCACACCTCTATTAAAGACACACATATCTCTGGATATTACCATGTTTTATTTATCCAATTTATTTATGTATTTACTTATTTTATAATGCTGGGAATTCTAATTTCTTTGGTTTTTGTTTTACAGTACTGGGGATTGAACCCAGGGCCTTTGCACTGAACTGAAGCCCCAGACTTCTTTTAATTCTTTGAGAAAGGGTCTTCCTAAGTCACTGATTGCCCAGGCTGGACTTGGATTTCTGATCTTCCTGCCTCAGACCCCAAGAATGCTGAGATTACAGGCGGCCACCGCCACTGCTGGCTCTGGTTTATTTTTGAATACAGAAAGAAACAGTTTTTCCTGCTAAACTGAATTCATTTTTTGCTTTGTGGGCAATCATTTCTAACACTGAGGAGTGTGACTTGATTTAGGAAGCAGAAGATAAACTCTTCCTTGGTTTTTAAGAGAAGTGGTAAAGAAGGCTCCCATGAGAGTAGCTTTGGCTGAGGCACTACAAAAATGGTTTTCTTAAACTCTTTAAAGAAAAGAATCTATAGGGGAAGAAGCTTATTTTTATCTTAGAAAAACTCCCAATGTTAGAAAAGCATGGGTGTTAGGACATCGTGTGGAGGCACTGCCTGCATCACTAGTGCAGTTACCTGTCTTAGCACCTTGGTGTGGAGAGGCCAGATGAGAGGAGAGACCGCCAGGATTGAGTCACTAGCCTTTCGTACTCCCCAAACGAACCTTTCTGGTCTTCAGTTTCAACTTTTACAAAATGAGACTAAAGCCAGGCATGGTGGTGCATGTCTGTATTCTCAGCATTTGGGAGGCTGAATCAGGAGGGTGGTTTTGAGTTCAAGGCCAGCCTGGGCTACATAGTAAGACCCTGTCTCAAAAAACAAAAAAGTTGTATAAATTATGTATGTATGTGTGTGTATAATATATATATATATACACACACACACACACATATATATGTATATATGTATATGTATATATGTGAGTGGAACTGACCATACTTCATTCTCCTGTTGAAAATGTTAGATCTTAGCCACTTAACAGTTTGCCCTGAGCCTGGGTGTCACTTGGGCATCGTGCTTGTTTACGTACTGACTGTCCCAAGCATTGCTCGGGCAGGTGTCATTTCAACCAGTTGATTCTTGTATTGAATGAATTTGATTAAAAATTTGTCATTTTTATATTTCCTGTTATATTATCTTACAAAAATTTAACAAAAAGTATATGCAATTTTTGGTCATCCCATATTTAAATAATTGGGCTGGTAGGTGGTTAAATGTGAAAAGCCCTTGATATGCAAGTGTGCGGTATTGCTGTTTACTGGGCAAGTATATGGTCTGTTTAATGGGAGAATCCAGGGTAGGTGGGACAAGATGCATCTACTATTAATAATGGCTTTAGCGTAGGATTTGATAGGGGATCGGGACCCAGAATTGTCCTAGTGCCCCCCTCAGAAGAGCACCTGTCTGAGTCTTGTGTGGTGTCTTGGCTTCATGCAGGTAATGCCATGGTCTTCAAGCCTTCCCCCTTCACGCCCATTTCCGCTGTGCTCCTGGCCGAGGTCTACACCCTGGCGGGCGTGCCTCCCGGGCTCTTCAATGTGGTGCAGGGCGGGGCAGCCACAGGCCAATTTCTGTGTCAGCATCCCGACGTGGCCAAAGTCTCCTTCACTGGAAGTGTGCCCACTGGTGTGAAGGTAAAGATGAAACCAGTACTGGTTAACACCGTCGCCATTGACTTGGCAAAGCCAGTCCTACCTCGGATGCGAGTGGAGGTTCCTCTTTGGAGCTGACCAATCTTCTATAAGGAATGGGGCAGGAGGCTCTCCCAGGCTGAGGTCTACAGTGTCCTGTGAAGCAGGAGGGAAGGGGGTGTGGGTGGGGTGTCCGTGCTGGGTCACGTGGCGTGGAGGCCGCATGTCCTGCCTGAGGTGGTGCCGTGTCTGAGGGCCTGGGCCCGGGCTGCCACTTGTGTTGTTAAGCAACTTAACTCCATGAGTGGGAGGAAGAGGACTTTCCTTAGGTTATTTCTGCTTCATCATTGTCACCTGAATTTGTATTCTGAGCTCTGTCAGCCCTGAACACAGGAAGAGCCACAGAAGAGGCTGGCAACACGACCATATGTTTTAAATCGGTATTGGTGAACCTGTGTCCCATGTGCCACAGTGAGCTGTTTGTGTCATCAGAAGCTCTAAAAGTTCACTGTCACTGTTTAAAATGAACGCTTTCCTCAGACTTTGAAGTACACTTCTGTGGGCTCTCTTCCATTTTATGGAAAATAATATTTTTTTAATTTATTTTTTCCGGCACCAGGGATCAAACTCAGGACCTTGCTCTTGTGAGGCAGGTGCCCCTGAGCTAAATCCCTGGCCTGAAAAAAGAGCATTTTAAATAGATGAAGGGCAAAGTATATTGATGAGAATAAAGCAGAAGGTCATACACAGCTGTCAGTGACTTTGTAGGGTCAGGGTTAATAGAGCTGGTGTGCAGTCTAACCAGTGTCAGCCTTCCTCTGAAAGCTTTATTTTTTTAATCATTTTGGGTACGAAGGATCGAATTTAGGACCTTGCACTCGTGAGGCAGGTGGCAGCACCACTGAGCTAAACCCCCGGCCCTGAATGTTTTATTTTTGTTTCACAGATCATGGAGTTGTCAGCTAAAGGAGTCAAACCTGTTACCTTGGAACTTGGGGGCAAATCTCCACTCATCATCTTCTCAGACTGTAACATGGAGAACGCCGTGAAGGGGGCGCTGATGGCCAATTTCCTCACACAAGGGCAGGTATGGGCTCATCCCTGGCAGAGGTTCAGAAGGAATCGCCACCCCTTCATCCAGCAGCGTGTTGTACAGCTACTGTTTTGAAATATTTTCAGACTTAATAGAAGAGTTGCAGAATAGAACAAAGAATTCCCATGTACCCTTGAACCAGATTCCTTGAATGTTAAAATGTTAACACTCACTTTATCATTCTCTTCATCTGTCTCTACACACACATATATGTTTGTTAAGAATTTCTGAACACTTAAAAGTTATAGAAAGAGGCCTCTCTAACCTCCAAATACTTTAATGTTTCTAAAACAAGTGTATTCTTTTACATACCACACAACACTTGTGGAAATCAATAAGCTAACATCAGTAGGGCTGTGTTACTGAATCTGTAACCTTTGTTAAAATTTCACCATTTGTCCCTTTAGTAAAATGTAGGGGACAGGGGAAGGGGACGTTACCAGAACCTCTGCAGTTAGTCCTGGTCTCCTGCGAGCCACGGCAGCACACGGCGAATTACAGGAAAGGTAGAAAAATGAGACCGAGAAGAAGCTGAGCTTTGGGTCTGATCA